TAGAATTTTTCTTCGATGATGGATCATTCTCATCATCCGTGAGTAAATCAAATTGATTACTCAAATTAATTTCATCAGAAGGGGGATCAAGAGTTTGACCCTTTCCTTTGCGTTTAGGCGCCATGGCGGCAGTAAATTTTTATCCAAATCGACTTCCAAGCAGATTACTATAAGAATCTGAAGGATCGAAGAGGAATTTTCCAAATCGATATCCAAGAAGGATTACCTCGGGTAGGGTCCAAACAAGGATCGAAGAGGAATAAGAGTTGAACAAGGTAGACATTTTACAGGTTGCGCACTGAAAAGTGCTGTTTAAATTTGTTGTAGCTTTAGGTAATAGTAACAGTTCATTCAGCAAAAAGCAAATAGATCCGCACGGTAAGAGAGCACGATGCGGACTGATGGTAGAAACCAATGAGCTGGATTACCGAGGTGAAGCAATCGGTTAAGTTGTGTGAGTAAAACCCCTGTACGATACAAGCAATTACCGAATCCACTTGTTGCTTAGATTCTATGTAACGTGATATCGCTGATACACAACACATTAAGTTCGATGTTGTTGAACGATGCTTCATAAAACCGTGCTGACTCTGTTGGAGATGATCGGTGCAGCAGCTCTGTACAAAACTGTGTGGATCAGTTTATCAAATACCTTACTGAGACTACAAAGTATGGATACACCTCGATAATTGGTGACACACTTGTAGCTTCCGGATTTATGGATAGGTACTATAGACGCTGTTTTCCATGCGAACGGTTGAAACCAGCAGCAATGGGCGTCGCCAGCGGCACAGTTCTTCAAAAACACAGGAGGCAAGCGAACTTCGTCTGGAGAAAACTGTATACACGGTAGATTAATGTTATGGGACGGTATCTGCTCAAAACAGTTTTGACGTTGTACGGGCGATTAGTAAAAAACACGATCTTGAAGCAAGTTGCAAAGAAATTGGCTGCTTCTGAACTTCAACGAGAATTTGTTTCATCGAAGTTAACCGAGCCAGGGATTCCGTTTCCAGCTTTCCGTTTCTTGATGAAGTCCCAGAAGCGTGAAGGATTTTGCTTGCCGGTTGACTGAAGACTGAGCAAATAGTTTTCATGTGTTGCAGAAATAATGACTTTGTACTCCAACTCAAGCTCACGGCGTATAGCTTTGTCGGACCCATTTTTTGTAAGGAAATATCGGTTGCGCATCTTACGTACATTGTTACGAAGGTTACGTAGCTCAGGAGTCCACCGCGGTTGGTTGAAAACAGATATCGATTTTTGTCTTTTATGAGGAACATGACGGTTGATAACTTCCGAGAGGGATTGGTAAAAAGTTGATAGCATCTGATCTACCGTACCATTATTCCATAATCGTTCCCACTCAATATCCATAAAAATACAGTTCAACAAGTCAAAGTCGCATGCCGAATAGTCAAATTTGAAACATTGATCATGATTGTCAAGTAGTATTGGTGCGCCACTCTTGTCAAGTAGTAAAATAACTGGTGTGTGATGGTTAGCTACGGGTAACAGCGGAGAAGACGGTGTAATGAGGTCAAGATATTGCGGTAAATTGGTAAATACAAGGCTTCTGTAAAGTTCAGTAGATACATTCGAAAGAATGAATCCATTAATGTCCTCGTCAAGATGCCATCGCAAATTAGGAAGATTGAAATCAATGTGGTGAATCAACAAGCTGCACAGAACAGAAGTGAAAGAGCAAAAAATCGGCGAATCAAAAAGGTGAAACAGTAAGCGAAGTGCTCTACAGTAGTAATTTCCCCAAAACCGCCAATTTTAAAAACGAGGTGCAGGTAAATGCGTTATATCTTGTACATTTGTACGCAGGTCTTTCGTGGTGGTTACTTTGGATACTCCATGAGTAACCAGCTCCGTAAAACGATTTGATTTTTTAAATCAATACTACTTCGCATTTCAAGCTTATTGCTTATCGCATATTAGCTTATTGCGGGCTCTCAACTTACAACAAAATGGTGAGTTGACAACCTGGAAGGAGCGGAATACCTAGCCCTGATCCTCACAAGTTCCTACTTCACGCCTCCCGAGTCATATGATAACAAAAGACTACCAGCTGAAACATGGACGTAGCCTGGGCAATGTTGCCAGTCCGGCAATAGCAAAGTGAAGAGGTGCGACGCGAACACTAGCGCGGTAACCATAGTACGGTGGTAAAGGAAATGCTTCACCAAACCCGAGCGTCTGTTCACCATGAAGGCGCGGCTCAAAACGGCGTATGTTCTCCATGTTAGGCCGACAACATAGTAGAAGCGATTCGAAGCGATTCGATGCGATAGCAATTGGCAAAGCGAAATGCAGCGGCAAGCGAAGCAACCTATGACATAGTGAAAGCGTTTTTGAAAACATTACAGTCGCGCGCGCAGTGCAAAATATTTGTTCAAATTTCGGTGTCCATTTTTCCTCACTAGAATCAGTCCACTTGCGTTCGAAGGCGTCAAAACACAACACGAACAGCTCTGTCGCTTTGCTGAACGCTTTACACCTCTTCGCATCGCTTTCACTATGGCTGGTTTGGGCGATTCCCATAGAACGCTCATAGAGGGTGCTTTCACGCAAGCGCTCCGCTTATTGCCAACGAATCGAATCGCTTCGAATCGCTTCTACTATGTTGTCGGCCTTAGGAGTGCCAGCGTGGGACTCTTAACAGAGCTGTGCACGATGGTCCCCCGGCGAGACAGGGAGTCGGAGCAAGCTTAACAAGCCACCCTTGAAAAAAACATAAAGTTGCAAATACTGAAGAAAGAAATACGGATCGTTTCGGCACAGACCGACGCGACGAAATAAGGACTACGATTGGCAACTCGGAACATGGAAGAGGGGTGCTCTAGATGCACTTCAACAGTTTTTAATTGAGAGCTTTCGATGCCTGCTACCATTTTTGCATTAGTATAATTGTGTTGCAAGCAGAATCCCTGCTCTAAGTTCAGGGAAGTCGAGAAATTTTCCAACCCGAAAAATTCCTAGACCGGACCGGGAATCGAACCCAGCCACCTCCAGCATGATCTTGCTTTGTAGCTCCGCTTTTACCGACTGAGCTAAGGGAGGCCCCCTTATTTGTCATATCAACTGCAATAAAGGTATTTTTGGCTATTCCTTCAATCATAATTAATGAAAGAAAAACGATGAAAGTACGTCACGCAATTGAAAGGCGCACTTTTTAGTCGTTATCCCTAAAGTACATGGAATACAAATATAATGTTCATTATTTTTAATCTAACTAGTATCGTCCAATTTAAGAATTAATTTCGGAAAAACCAGCCTGTATCACACCTGATGACAGTGTCTTTATATAAACGTACTACGACGTGGCTAAAAAATTAATGAAAAGAATATGTCATACCATCACTGACTTAGTCTCCCATGCGGGCCTGCAGCATGAGATTAAGCTCTCCCACCTGCGGCAAGGTGCTTACGAATGGCCTATCGGAGGGAACTTTTCAAACTCTGAGACTTTCGAAAACTTCTAGATTGGGCCTATACTATATGAACTAGTGTTTCGTACGCGGGATGTAGAATTTAACAAATTTCACATTTCCCGGTTCCTGGGAAGCTACTCTGACTACCCGGGAAATAGCTTTTTTTGTACAGACACCATCCTAAAGACATTGTTTTAGTAAAAGTGACCACACAACGCAGGATATATACTTCTTCGATTTCTTAGAGGAACAACTGAATTTGTCTCAGACGTCATTTCGATCAGAAATGCCGGTTCCTTGCTACGATTTTTTGGAAAATTTCAAGTACGCCATTTTGAAAATTTTACAAAATCCAAAATGGCTGAATTTAGTAAAAGTGTGAATGATTTCCCATAACAAACAATTACGCAAAGTTTCACGCCAATCGGTGAAGGTCCAATTTTTCCGATTCGTCATTTACCGTGGAACTGCTCAGCTGGACCAACATTGATATTGGGTCATATTGGTGTTTCTCCTCATTCATGACAAGCAAAATCGCAAAAATCTATCCTGAGAATTTTCAAACATGATTATGATTTATGATACACTAAATACAGTGTTCGTTCGATTGCTGTACTTGCGTTAAACCGGATTAACCGGAGATAACTCATAAATGGAAATCGAGCTCTTTATCCAAAAAATGATCACCTTTGCGTTTTGGCACAAGGTCTGACATAGGAACATCGTCAGAGAATCGATTGATGACTATTTTCACCATAGACAGCCTATATAATTCCACTCTTTAGTTTCCCTACATTCATGATCCCAATTGGAACCGGGAGTTTATAAAAGAGAGAGCGCGCGCGGAAGCTAATCATCGAAACGTGTATCTCAGACAAACACATCGACACGAATTGACGACCCGGGTAATTACACGACTCTAATCCCATCAGTGGATCTTTTTTTCCGCGTCCATATTGTGTACATACGTACGTACTTGTTTACCCGTTCTCATCACGACGACCAACGACGGGAAGAGTGCTAATTCCCTGGCAAATGATGAACATTTCTTTCCCCCTTTTCACCGCCAACTGTGCCCAACTGTAATGGAAGGGTAGAACCTAAATACCGACCAGGTCTAGCCAGCGCCACCTTTGGGAAGTCACGTGAAAACGAGTGAATCGCGAGCGCGATCTATCCGCCCGTCGCTAATAATGCCTATCTACCAACCATATTATTCCCAGGTTCATTTAGTGGATGATGGGGAAAAATGCAAAGAAGGGTGGGCGGGGGATGGTGGAAGAACACACTTTAAATCGTAGCAATTCTCTGATTGAATGCATCCGGTTTTCGACTTGATGATGTTGGGCTAGCTATGGGAAAATGCACGATGTGAAATGATGCATTCAACTCTCGAATGGGGGGGAAATAAATCATGCCGCGAAAATGTGAAATGTGGCTCGTCGCCGTCGTGATGGAATGGAAGTCGATATCACGATGCCTTAGAAGTAAAAGAGCGGGTCATGCACTATCCGTAAACAGCCATCCAAGCGTGGTGTTTTGTTTACATTTGGCGCTTACCCTGAACCAGAAGGCAACCTGCGATTTTTTGATGAAGTTGTTGGTTTTCCAAGAACAAATTCGCACCATTTATCAGCATGAAAGCAGCAGTAGGCGGCCGCAGAGTTGAAGGTGGGTGGTGGGCGGAGCGGGGCGGTGTGTTGTGCGTGGATGCACGCGTGAAATTTGACACCCGAGAAAGGTGGTCAGGTGGTGGCGATGGAAGCAGGTCAAAGAAGGCCAGGTGTGTTTGTTTTGTTTTTACGATTGTAGCAGCGCAGCGTTGGTGTTGATGACATTGTCATTGAAGTTGGTGCCGGCGTTCGGGTTGTTGTTGTTGTTGTTGGTGGTGATGATGGTATCATCGTTGTGTTGTGTTCGGTATCATAACAAAGCGAAACGCACGAATGGAAATAGAGATAAAATAAAAAGAAATAGGTTAATTTGGTTTTACGATTTCTGTGACATTTCGGCATTCACGTGTATTTGAAGGGTTTCTTGCGACTGGTAAGGTGTTATTGTTTTTTGACTGTGAAGGAGTGAAATGTTTCCCAAGTAATAAACGTTTTTTTGTTTGTATAAAAGCAGAAGGACAAAAAACACAGTTGAGTGAGAAATCCGTTCAACTCTGTGTCGATTGAAATTCAGGCATACACAGTTTAATAAAATTTTCCACTGTAAATATCCTCCCTAACTCGACGGTTGTGATGTAGAGCTTATCAGTATTAACTAACAAAGTTATCATAATGTCAGTTTAGTCAAGTTTGTAATAAGTAATCACAAACACACAGCTTTGTTTGTACATAAATCAGTAGTTCTTCTATACAATCGGGTGGGATATTCTTAGAATCCCTGAAGAAATTTGACTAGAATCTCAGAAAATATTGGGGTATGTATCCCAGAAAGGAATCTTTTTGAATACCAGAAATGATTCTTTTGAATACCAGAAAAAATCGTATTGAGTCTCAAAAAGGATTCCCTTATTCAGAGCTGGAAAATATCACGGCCATCATGCGACAATGAGAAAACAGGTCGTCTCACTATCACGAGACGAAACTACCTTTAATGAGCTTTCTTGTCATTCCCTAATGATCAAGCACTCATGAACAATTCTCTTACGGTTTTGACATCAAAATTTCTATCTGATTTAGATGAATTTAGGCAATCAATAGTATGTAATCGGTAGAGTGAATATATTTTTCAGATTTCCGCGATACAAGTAATAATTATATCAATAAATGAGCTAGTAATTGCGATGTTTATAAAACAGTCGTGACAAAAAAAAAATCGATGAGATTTTAAAGAATATCTCTATCGTCGTTTTCTCATCCAGTGATAGTGACAGAAGTATCTCTCTAGAAATCGCGTGAGATCTTTAAATGAAAATGACATTTACCAGCCCTGCCCCTAGTATCCCAAGAAAAGATTTTCCTAGAATCATCGTAGAATCAAACAAACTCTTCTTGAAAATCAGAACAAAATCTTCTTGAATTCCAGAAAAGATTCATCTAGAATCCCGGAAAAGATTGCCATAGAATCCTAGAAAAGATTCACCAAGAATTCTAGAAAGGATTCTCGATGAACCCTAGAAAAAATGCTTATAGAAAAAACAACATCTTTTTGAATCCAAGAAAGGATTCTTTTTGAATACCAATTGAAAAAAAAAATCTTTATGGATTCCAAAAAAGCATCTCAGAAAAGGTGTTCCTAGAACCATCGTAGAATCAAACAAAATAATCTTCGGGAATCCAAGGAAAAAAATCTTTTTAAATCCAAGAAAAAAATCTTCTTGAATCCAAGCAAAAAATCTTCTTAAATTCCATCAAAAAATTCCCCAAGAATCCCAGAAAAGGTTGGCCCAGAATCCTAGAAAGGGTTCTCGTTGAACCCCAGAAGTATGTCATAAAAATGTTCCTAGGATTGCCGTAGAATCCTACAAAGGATTCTCTTTACTCGTAGAGAAAAAATCTGTTTCATTTCGAGAAAATATTCCCATACAATTCCAGAAATAATTGTCCTAGATTCCCCAAAAAGATTCTTTTTGAAAGCAAGAAAATAAAACCTTCTGGCATCCCACAGCATTCTTCTTAAATCCCAGAAATAATTATTCTTTAATTAGATTAAATATTTCCCTAGTATCAAAGAAAGGACTCCCCTAGTAGTGCAGACAGGACTCTTCTAGAATCTTAGAAAAGATTCCAGAAAAGATTGCCATAGAATCCCAGAAAAGATTTCCAAGAAGAATGCTTCTTGAATAACAGAAAGGATTCATCTAGTATCGCATGGAAGATTTTCCAAGAATTATCATAGAATCTGCAAAAGATTCTACTTGAATTCTAGAAAAAAATCTTGAATCCAATAAAAAAATCTTCTTGAATTCCATAAAAAATTCCCCAAGAATCCCAGAAAAGGTTGTCCCAGAATCCTAGAAAGAGTTCTCATTGAACCCCAGAAAAAATCTTCAAGAAGTATCCCATAAAAATGTTCCTAGGATTATCGTAGAATCCTACAAAGGATTATCTTGAATCCTAGAAAAAAAATCTTTTTCAATCCCAGAAAATATTCCCTACAATTCCAGAAATAATTGTCCTAGATTCCCCGAAAAGATTCTTCTTAAATCCAAAAAAATAAAATCTTCTGGCATCCCAAGCATTCGTTTCAAATCCCAGAAAAGATTATTCTTTAATTCGAATAAATATTTCCGTAGTATCAATGAAAAGACTTCCCTAGTAGTGAAGACAGGAGTCTTCTAGAATATTAGAAAAGATTCTCGCAGAATCCCAGAGTAGATTCTTCTCAATTAAAACCCAGAATTTTTTTTTCTTGAATTCCAGAAAAGATTGCCCTAGAATCCCAGAATAGATTTCCAAGAAGGATTCTTCTTGAATAGCAGAAACGATTCATCTAGTATCGCATAAAAGATTTTCCAAGAATTATCACGGAATCCTACAAAAGATTCTTCTTGAATCCCAGAAAACATCTTGAACCCCAGAAATGATTCCCTTAAATTTTCAGAAAGGAATCTCGTAGAACCTTAGAAAATAATCATCTTTAAGTCCAGAAAAGAGCCTCTTGAATCCCAGAGGATTCTTCTTGAGTCCAAGAAAGGATTATTCTTGAATTCCATTAAAGATTCACTCGAAGATGAACCAGCGTCTGGCTTAAAATCTCGTTAATAATGATAACTAACCAACCAACCAACCACTAAGGATTCCCCTAGTACTGCAGAAAGGATTCTCCTACAATCTTAGAAGGGATTCTCGTAGAACCACAGAAAATATTCTTCGTGAAACGCAGATAAAATCTTCTAGGATTCCAAAAAAGATTCCTCTAGAATCCCAGAAAGATTCTCATAGAACCCCAGAAAAGATTCTTCTTGAATTCCCAATGGATTCTTCTTGAATCGCAGAAAGAATGCTCCTTCAATTCGATTAAAGATTACCCTAGTATCACAGAAAGTATTCCCCTAGTTGCACAGAAATGATTCTCAAAGAATCCCAGAGAAGATTGTTTTTGAATCCTAGAAAAAAAATCTTCTTGTATTCCAGAAAGGCTTACTTTAGAATCTCAGAAAAAAATTTCATAGAATCCCAGTAAAGCTTCCCCTAGAATCCTAGAAATCATTCTTCTTGAATCCCAGAGACTGCTTCTTCAATTCCATAACAGAATTCCCTAGTATCGAAGAAAGGATTTCCCCAGTATCACAGAAAAGCTTCACCTAGAATCCCAGAAACAATTCTTCTTCAATTACAGAAAAAAATCCTCTTGAATCCGAGAAAAGATTCCCTTAGAATCCCTGAAAGTATTCTCCTGAAATCCCATAAAAGATTTCCTATGAATCCCTGAAAAGAGTCCCCTAGAAACCTAGAATTAATTCACGTAGAATGCAAAAAAAATGCTTCTTGATATCCATAAAAGATTATCCACACAGAAAAGATTCCAGAAAGGATTGTCCTAGAATCCCAGGAAAGATTCCCCAAGTTTCCAAGGATTCTCGAAGAATGCCAGAAAAGATTCTTTTTGAATCCCAGAAAACAACAAACTTTATTTTATCCCAGAATAGATTATACTAGAATCCCAGAAAATATTCCTCTAGAACCTTAAACGGATTTTCGTAGGATGTCAGAAATTACGTTTCTTGAATTCCATAAAAGAAAAGATTCCTCTAGAATCTCAGAAAGAATTTTCCTAAAATCTCATAAAAAATTCTAATAGAATTCCAAAAATGATTTTTCTTAAATCCCAGACAGGGTGCTGCTTGAATTCTATAAAAGAAAAAATTACCCTAGAATCCCAAAAAAGAATTGTCCTAGAATCACAGAAAAAATTCTCTTGAATCCAAGAAAAAAAAAATCTTCTAGATGTCCAGAAAAGATTCCCCTAGAATCCCAGAAAGATTCTCGTAGAACCCCAGAAAAGATTCTTCGTGAATTCCCAAAGGATTCTTCTTGAATCTCAGAAAGAAAGCTTCTTCAATTCGATTAAAGATTACTTTCGTATCACAGAAAGGATTCTTCTAGTTGCACATAAATGATTCCCGAAGAATCCCAGAAGATTCTTCTTGAATTCCATAAAAAAAAATCTTTTTGAATTCCAGAAAAGATTTCCTTAGAATCTCAGAAAATATTTTCCTAGAATCCCTGAAAAGCTTCCCTCAGAATCCTAGAAATAATTCTTCTTGAATCCCAGAGAATGCTTTTTCAATTCCATAACAGAGTCCCCTAGTAGATCACCGAAAAAGCTTCTCCCAGAAAGGATTCTCGTGAATTCCCAAAAAGAATTCTTCTTCAATAACAGAAAAAAAATCCTCTTGAATCCGAGAAAAGATTCCCTTAGAATCCCTGAAAGTATTATCCTAGAATCCCATTAAAGATTTTCCTAGAATCCCAGAAAAGATTCCCCAAGTTTCCAAGGATTCTCAAACAATCCCAGAAAAGATTTTTCTTGAATCCCAGAAAAAAAAAACCTTATTTTTTCCCAGAATAGATTATACTAGAATCCCAGAAAACATTCCTCTAGAATCTTAAAACGGATTCTCG